AAAATGATACTTAAACTCGGAAATACCAAAATGGTCACTTGAATTTGCAAAATCTTAACTTAGTCACAAGTGACCAATTTGACATTTATAAATTTGCTGAAATAACCATATTACCCTTCATTTTATTTATTGTTTTTTGAAAAACAAAAGCCCCCACTGACCGGTCAGTCGCGGGAGCACTCATGCTGATGGAGGTGGCCGTCACCGGAACTTCAACGACTGGCTGACAATTGGTCGCCAAAGCTTTGACAGCTAAAAACAATTTTTTTAAAAAATTTTACAATTTAAGTATAAGAGTTAACAACTTCTGTAATACTATTAATAACTTCAGTATAGTAGTTAACAACAGGTTTTCTAGAAAATTCAAAAAGTAGTATTTTTACAAATTCAGTAATACCGTTAATAAGTTCCGTAACTCTATTAACAACTTTGATATATCATTTAACAACAGGTTTTCTTAAAAATTCAAGAAAAATAGTATTTTTACAACTTTAGCAACTACTTATTTTTTAAAATCTTTACAATTTCAGTATAACGGCTAATAACTTTTGTAATGTTATTAACAACTCCAGTATAACGGTCAACAATATGTTTTTAAATTTGTTAATGAAGTTATAAAAATGTTACTTTTTGAATTTTCTGAAAAACCTGTTGTTAACTGCTATACTGAAGTTGTTAATATTGTTACAAAAGTTGTTAACCATTATATTAAAGTTGTAAAAAATTTTTTAAAAAAAAGTAGTTGCTAAAGTTATAAAAACACCATTTTTTTAATTTTTAAGAAAACTAGTTGTTAAATGCTATACCAAAATTGTTAATAGAGTTATGAAATTTGTTAATGGCAGTACTGATGTTGTAAAAATACTACTTTTTGAATTTCCAGGAAAACCTGTTATTAACTGCTATACTGAAGTTGTTAATAGCGTTACAAAAGTTGTTAACCATTATACTAAAATTGTAAAAATTTTCAAAGGATTGTTTTAGCCGCTAGAACTCCAGAGAACAATTGTCGGCTGGTCGTCGAAGCTCAGGTGAGGGCCGCTGCCACCACTGCCAGAGCTCCAACTACTAACCGACCAGTAGGTGCTTTGGTTTTTTAAAAAATAATAAATAAAATAAAAATTAATATGGTCATTTTAATAAATTTATAAATATCAAATCAACCACTTGTGATTGAATTAGGATTTTACAAATTCAAATTACTATTTTACCATTTTTAAGTTTACGGGTTATTTTGTGTTATTTTCTTTACAAACTATTGTAAATGGAACTTCCTCCGTTCCTTATTATAAGAGACATTTGATACTTATGGCATGTTTCTATATATAAGAGACACTTAAAAGTTGTTTCTACTTTTTTGTATTGATTTTCTATTTTACCCATATTTATTATCTCCAACTCACACTCTCTTTCCTTCCCACTTCTCTTTTTTTAATAATTTAATTGTTCTCTCTCATGTTCTCTCTCCTTATTAATGAGGGCATTTTTGAAAAAAATTATACTTTTTACATATTAATTATTCTTAACTAATTTTAACTATTTTTTGATCAACGTACTTCAGTTATTTGTCTTTTATAATAAGGAACGGAGGGAATACTGTATTTTGGCATTATTAAAAAATGCTAAAGGAGAGTACAGGTGGGGGTACATTAATGATTAAAGTGGAATCAATTCGAACACCATTAATTGGCCGCAGGGAGCAATCATTCATTTGAGAGGGGTACTATTGCTACGTACCAAAGTCATAAAGCAGCGTTGAAACTTAATTCGGCCTTTCTCTTTTTGCAAGGACAATCATGCATGAGATAGCTGCTCACATGCCAAAAAAGGCCAAATTAGTTTCAGACCTAAAAAGATGTAAATAAAATAAATTAAAACCTTATATTTAAAATTAAACCCAATATTTTAATTTCTAACAAAAAAAATTCGACCCTCTAATTAAATTTTACATTATGAACTCAAATTAGTATTTTTTTAAGTAAAATAACATCCAACACCATGGTATTATTTCTCAAGTACATTTTAACACCATAATATTATTTATAATGTATTTAACATCCTAATATTATTTTTTAATAATTTGACAAGTAAAATTATGATATTAGATGCTACTTTATCTCTTTTTTTTCCCTCCTTGAAAGTCTTATTTGATGAAGCATGCAATGGACTAAAAATAAATTCTAAATTTTATGGGACTTAAAAATAGTTACATTTAAATAATTTGCAAACTTTGATACTTTTTATGGACCAAAGAAACTTTACAAAAACTCCCCTTTTTTTTTGATAAATCTACTCCAACCCTCTTAAATGGATTCTTGTATATCTCTTTTTCTTTCCATCTTATGCTATAGGTATCCAAGGGGATGTGTACTTTTTCCTTTTTAATTTTCATTGTGCTTTCTGAATGGATTTTAGAAATTAAAAGACAACATGCTAAAAAGTGAAATGATTAAAACAAAATATTCCTTTTCTCCTCAGTATAATCCATATTCATGGAATATCTATCATATATATACACTGATTAATTAGAGTAATTCAATATAAATCATGACTTCAGCAATATATATTTATATGTTATATAAAATCAACAGGGTATTCCTTTATTTATAAGCCATTAATTAAAAATGCAACTTATCTAAAAACTTGTGTAAAATAGGCGATCTACACTCAAATTTTAGATATAAAATTTAGAGAAATATGCATTGTTTCAAAAAGTTTTTAAAAAAATAAAACTCATTTTCTTTAACTCTGAACTAGACAAGCCCCAAGTAGTGATATTATTTCCAAGAAAACAAACTATTTGGTTAAAATACTGATGCAAAAGGATTGTTTTAGTTGATATAAGATATTGAAAATTAAAATATCTGTAATAAAAGTTATTATTAAATTTTAAATGAATTAACATTAATATTTATAGAATTATAATTAATAAGCTGGTTTGTTAAGTGTTTGGTGATCTAATGGCTCCAAAACACACCTAATAGACAAATCAGTGAACTGACGTCTAAACTAACCCAAAACCATTTCAGAACTGGTCATAGTTTGTAGATCGAGTTAATTAAAAAAAATGCTCCGTCCATTCCCAATTATAAGATCTAAGTATCGAATTATATAGTTTATGAACACGATTAGAATTGGTTAAAAATAATAAATATATAAAAAATGTACTTTTTTTTTCAAATATATTCTTACTTATAAGGGGTAGATAAGAGTGAGAAAAAATATGATAGAATGTATGAGAAAAAGATAATAAAAGTGTATATTAATTAAAGATAAAATAGATGAAAATCGATTTAATATTTAAATAAATTCAAAGTGAATCACATAAAAAAGTAAAAATCAATTAAAAAAATTTGAATATTATAATAAGAAGCGAATGGAGTAACCAAATGAATAAAAAGCCCAAAACAATCATTTATGTCGTTATTTTTAAACTTTCATTTGATGTATACGTACAAACTCAAATGAAGACGAGTGATAGGGACTCTTATTACTTAAAAGAAGTCATCATTTATTTGGGAGGAGGAGTCCAATTATTGACGTCAATATCTGAACAGACAACTTCCCTTGTACAGAAAAAAATCAAAAAAGCTCTCGTTGATATATTGCTTATAGGCGCAATATTTTGCTACCAGTCCTTGTTTGTATGTGGGGAAAAAAACAAAACAGGAACTCTAATTTGTACATAGAAAAATTTAAATTAATTTAAATTTGATTAATGAGGATTGAGTCTAGTAGAATGGGTTAATCCCTCCTAACCTTGACAAACTAAAGTTTGAATTCCTACTGAAAAATGTGTCCATATTTAGTACCCCACGGTACTTCAAATATGATTGTCTCTAGTAGGAGGATACCTATATGTAACAAAAAAGATTGATAATGCTATCTTTGGTTCTTAATATAAGAACTGATTTGGTCCTAAATATAAGATATTAATCTATTTTATCTCTCATATTTATTTATTTTTTCTAAAGTAGTCACATGTTAAAGGCTTCATTAATATGCATATGATTAACAATGATATTTTGAAAAAGACAACACTTATTTATTATAAATAATTAACTTAATTAATTTTTTTAATCCATTCAAATTATTTAACTAGTTTTTATATTAAGAGTCGGAGATATTATACAAAGTGGTCCTATTAAAACATGTCTTCCACATGCAATTTACATATCCACTCTCAATAACATGGGAGCTAAGTAGAAAGTAGAAACCGGAAAGTCGTTATGATTTACAAAGCGCAGATCATTGGGTGAAAAAAAATAAACAAAAATATTATTCTTTATATCATTAACTAAAAACAAAAATAATCAATTTAAAATAATAATTTGAGTATAATATACACATGTGGTCCCAAAAAAAAAACAGAAGAAAATCTCTACAAACTATTGATCAAACACGACAGTAACAGTATAGTTAGATACTTCCTCTTATTTCAAATGCACAGGTCATTTGCCTAATTCAGTGAGAACAAGGAAAAAGAGTTAAATTAGTTATTTTCACATATCAAATCATTCTATTATTGCTTAATATTCATATGGTGTTTAATTAAAATATTTGTGATAATTTTTTTTTTTAAAAAATACTCCTGTCATTTAACTGGATCATTGATTAATCAATTACTGCTGGTATTTTATTTAGAGAAAATGACAGATAAAGAAGCCAAAAATTATGATATCCCAGTTTGGTCACCGGACATTTCAAAATAACAGAAAAGGAAATAAAGCCAAATTAAAATTTTGCAATTCAAAAAAATTACAAAAATGCTCTTTTATTATTTTTCAAAAGAGTTTGGGACCCATCACCGAAACCCTTACCAACAGTTGGCCATTGGCCAACGCTGGCAGCTGGCTGGCCGCCCGTCAATGCCAAAGCCTTAACATCGACCACTGACGACATGGTTGCAGATGGGATTTTTTTTTCCAGAGGAATTTTTTTTCAAAAGGTAAGGAAAGTGGGGTTGACGAATTTGATCCCCAACCAGGCGTTTGCTGAAAATGCAGGTAACCACCGACCCAAGAAGCTTTCCGAGCATTATCATGCAAAAACGAATGTAAGTTAATTTTTTTTAGTTTCAACTTGTGAAAATAATTTATCTAAAAATAACAAATCTTATTATGAAATGACAAGTCTAGAGATTAACAACTTTTTTTTTAGATACTTAACATGTGAATTAATTCAAAATGATAATAGTTCATTTAGAAATAACAAATTCTCGTTGTGAAATAACAAGTCTTGCACTGGGATTAACAATATGTTTTTTTCTTGATACATAAACATATAACTCATTATAAAATTAAAATATTTTTTATAAATTATAAATATTATAACTAGTATAATAAAAATTTAATAGTTTTTATAAATTGGAGATTAAGTATTTTTATCAATTATAAATAATATAACTAGTATAAGTTAAAAGTGTTTTTTATTTTTTTATAAATTATAAAATAATTAATATGATTAAAAAGTATTTTATATTTTTTATAAATTGGAGATAAAGTATTTTTATGTGATAAAAAACATGTTGTTAGTCCAAACTTAAGATTTGTTATTTCACAATTAGGATTTGTTATTTGCAAATTAACTATTGTTATTTTTAATTGATTTACATGTTATGTATCTAGAAAAAAATATGTTATTAATCCCAACTCCAAACTTGTTATTTCACAATTAAGAATTGTTATCCCTAAATAAATTATTATTACTAGTTGAAGCCAATATAAAAGAGTTAACTTATATTTTTTTGGGACATAATAATGTTAAGAAAGTTTCTTGACTCAATGGTTGCCTATCTTTTTGGTAACCATGGTTGGGGGATCAAATGTCGCTAACCCACTTTTCTCCCCTTGTAAAAAAAATTTCTCAGCAAAAAAAAAAAAAAAAGGCATGAAACTCCCACCGGCAGCCACCTTGTCGGAGTCAAAGCTCTTGCGCTGGTAGGCAGTTGCTGGCAAGTGGTTGCCAATAAGGGCTCCGGTGAGAGGTTCTAAACTTTTTTTAAAAAATAATAAAAGGATATTTTTGTAATTTTTTTGAATTTTAAAATTCTAATTTGGATTTACTTCCTTTTCTGTCATTTTGAAGTGTTAGGTGCCCAAATTAGAATATCACAGCTTCAGGCTTCTTTTACTCTCTTTTTGAAGATAATCGTAATTTATACTCTTTCATGTTATTAGCGTTGGAGTTGGATAATTCATTTTTAAATATTAAAAAAATTAGGTAAATTAATTAATTGTAAAAAATATGTATCAAATTTTCTAAAATATCTTCTTTAATTATTTTTATTTAAAAAATAAAAAAATCTCTTAATATGTGCAATCAACGAGGATAGTTTGGAGAAAATATTTATGAGTTTAATAGACAAAATAAATTGATATTTTATAGTTAAAAATAACATTAATATCATATTTAGTCCTTACAATTTCATTGAATTTTAATTTTAGTCTTTACAATTTTAAAATGGAGTTTCTAGTTTAATTAAATAAGAACTTGGTTTGAGTTAACATTATTAAACATAGGAACCAACACTAAAACTTACCTAATCTCTATATTTATGTTAGTTAACATGGTCAAACTCAAACCTATTTAAAACTAGGATGACTAGAATCAAGATGAAACCAATGGCAAGTGTTAACAATTTGATAGAACGGTGAAAATCTCCTATAAATATATTTTATATAAATCGAGATAAAACTTTTCTCACATATTTATTTCTTATTTTATAAATCACTGTTAAAAAAACAGTTTATACACTATTTACATCTCTCGTTGAAACTCCTGCAAGTCTGCAAAAGAAACGCGTAATAGAAAAGAATCTTTGCGACTGCTGTTTCTGCCCAAGGGTGGGAATATTTGTATCTTTATGGGGTTAAAGAGACCACACACTTCTCCAAGCAAGACATAGAGAGGTGGGATTTGACCATTTGTGTTGGCTCAATACTTTAAAATAATGTGTATATTTTAATCTAAATGAAACGCACGTATTCTTTTATTATATTGAAAGAATTGCCGTGGAGTCCAAGTAAGCAACATACTACTTTCCTTTGAAAAAAATTTTTTTGGTTCTATTTATAAGATAGAAGGAAAAAATTTTCATATAAATATATAATTTTACTATTTATTTATTACTGTGTTGATTTTTTTATATGGTATGTTGTACATTAAATAAGAATAAAATTGAAATTTTAAATGAAAGTTAATAAAGTTTAAGGTTTTTATTAGTTTGTGTGAAATATATTGGAAGTAACTTATAAATAGGAATAGAGGAGTAATTATTAAAAACTTTTAGTGATAACAAAGCCGTCAATAATGACAAGTTTTAGAATATGAAATGATAATTGCTCACTTATCATTGAGACTTACTGATAATTATTTTCTCTATTTGAAACCTCATTGTAATTTTTCCTATTGTGTTAGGCAGCAAAACAATTAAATATTTTATTCATAAATAATTTGTAAATATCCTCTTGTAAAAACATTAGAGTGAATGATAATTAAGGAACTCATAAGCAATTTGATACTAAATCATTTTTTAATTTTTAATTTTACAAAAATGAGTATTGAATTTAAGAAATGAGGTCTTGATTTAGTAATAATATATTGTTATGACGTCCTTAATTTCATTTTGTGCAAACATTATTCAAATTATGAACTATTTTGACTTTAATGATATTTTAGGCAATCTGTGGTTTAACAAGTAAATTCCAAAACATACTATGGAAACCTCCCAAGTTTTTATCTTTCCACTTTTTTTAAAAAAAATATAGAAAACTATTTGATGTCTTTTCAAATTGTTTAATTTTTTTCTATTTTTCATAACAAATGGACCTAAAATTTGACAAGATGGATGCACATTCATTCCCCCTTGTCATCAATCGGGAAAAAAAGAGAAAATATTATTAAGGATCCTATGATGAAATAACAATTATTCTAATACCTTAAAATTTCAAATATTTTAAAGGACCCAATTTTTTAATACTTTTCAGAATTGTTTTTCCAGAAATTTCCTACTATATTTGTTGAAGTCATAATTCTAAAACATTCTTTTAAAATCAAATATTTAAAAGGTTAAATTATAATTGGAAAATAACGAAGACGACAGCTTTAAAATAAAGCATCTCTTTAAATTTTAATTTGGGTAAGAAATTGTTAGTTTGACTTTTCATAATATGACAGATACGTGAGTTTATTCATTTAAGTGAAGGATGACAAAAGAAACTTTAAAATAATTAATGATAATTAATTTTGCTTTTGAAAAATTTTTCCCCCTAAAGTTAACTTTTTCATCCACCGATGTGCCTTTGATGTTATAATTTTCTAAGCTGGATCCTTTGTCACAGACTTTATGAGATTTTGAATGGTTTATGCTTTCTCATGACACTGAAAGGTTGTAATGTTTATTCCAAATAATTAGTGTGGGGCGCTATGTTGTGAGACATATTATTAACGATGAGTATAAAATTTTTAGATTAAATATATCTGAGATATTAGATATAGTGGGGCCCCTTCTCCATTAATGAGAGGCCAAAATTTTCAAAAGTTTTCTTTTTCTCCGGTGGACGTAGTCATTAGTCAAAAGTTTGCTCTTTTGGGCCGAAAAACGTATTCATTTTGTTTTTAATTAAAAAAATCAATTATATAAAATAAAAATATTATTCCACTAATGCTGGTATGATAATGTTAATATATTATAGGGATAATAATTTGGAAAAGATTGAAGCAACAAATTCAAAAAAAAGATAATGCATGACCAAAGAAATATTAGACTAATAAAATAGCCCGCCATCCAGTTTTAAATATAAAAATTTGTGGAAAAATATATTTTAATTTTAAATATAAAACTTCAATCTATTCTCTCTTATTAATTTATAAATTCTAGACAAAGGAAGTTTTTCATAAAGAAAATCATTTTTAATACAAATAATTAAAATGAATATTTCAAGTAAATTAACCCACATATTTTAAAAGATAACTAATTTAATTTATTTTTTAATCTTTTGCAAACTAATTATTTAATCCTACATTAAAGATTTAAAGGAGTATTAACATAAATGGTTTTCTTAAAACTCATTTACACGATATTTTTTTGGCACAAAAATTTACATGAGATTAAAGTTCTTTCAATGGCAAAATGAAATTAAATAAAAAAGAGAATAAAATAAAAAATACTTTTAAGATAACAATATTTTAAAAACGGCTAGATGTTGTCTTTGTATATAAAACAGATTCAATTATTTTAGCAACCGATCAAATTCAAATTCAATGAGTATAGTGACGATAGTAGGTTGTCACCAAAAAAAAAGAAAAACACTGACGTTAGTAGACTTTAATGAACTCAAAATAGAATTAGGTAATTGACACAACAACTTAGTACCCATGTCCCATGGTTAGTTAATTAACTAAACTGATAGGGAATTAACGATAATTAATTTTGACATCATTATCAAAATATCATTATCACTCATATATCCATCAAAAAATAAATTGTAACCAGACATAATAGATCTATTATCAACCAGCTCGGAGCTCAATTAAATGTTGAGATAACGTTATTTGTTAGTACTTGCATTAAAAACCTCAATCAAATGCTCATAAAAAAAACACTTTTCTCACTCGAATTTTAAAAAAAAAAACTCGTATTTGATTATAAGACAAAATTTTATAGGATGTATCTTATATACTACTCCCTCCGTTTCTTATTATAAGAGACGAATAACCGAATTACGTTGATAAAAAAACAGTTAAATTAGTTAAGAACAATTAATGTGTAAAAAATATAATTTTTTTTTTCAAAAATACCCTCATTAATAAGGAGAGAGAGTATGAGAGAGAACAATGATAAATTATTAAAAGAAAGAGAAGTAGGAAAGAGAGAGAGTGTGAGTTGGAGATAATAAATATGGGTAAAATAGGAAATCAACACAAAAAAGTAGAGACAACTTTTAAGTGTCTCTTATATATAGAAACATGTCATAAACATCAAATGTCTCTTATAATAAGGAACGGAGGGAGTATAAAATAAGATAATATATAAACTTTAAGGTGAGTGATGAATATTCTCAAAAATGCCCCCTTTGGCTTTAAGTGAAAAAAAAAGATAAATACTATAAGAAAATAAAAAAAATCTTATATAAGTTTTTGAAAAATATGAAAGTGGTGGAGAGTGAAATACAGTGATATAGTAACATATAATTAATAGGAGTAAAAATGAAAAAACTAATTAAAATTTCATATATCATATACACGTAATAAATAAATAAAATATTGTGTCCAATAAACTACGAAACCTAGCATAATTAGGATTTAAGTGGGTTTCTTAAATGTCTAATAAGGGGCTTGATCGAGATGTACACGAAGAGATCTCATAATCTGCACTAAATTCTTTTTTTAAAAAATTAAATTTTTAATTAACTTTTGGGTAAATATATATCAATTTTTTGAGTGAATAAATATATACGAGTTGGGGTTCTGTTGCCTCTCCCGCCAATTAGGTCTTGGAAATGGGGTCTCTTATTAGGCTTATGAAGGCAAAAGGATCACAGTGCTGTGCAGAATCTTAGCTGGATTCACTATCCTCTAAAGTCCAATTTACCCCTCTCTCCCTCTAATTTCCTCCTTCGCGCTCAACCTTTTCACACACACCGTAGCCCTCTCTCCCCCCGAAGTCGAAGTCCCCACAAATCATCCCCATTGCTGCCCCTCTCCACCCAATACTGTCACTCTCTCAGAGCCACCCAGAGAGAGAGCTTCAGAGTACTGCTCCCCGCCACAATGCACCCATCCTTCTTCTTCATCCTCTTCCTTTCCTTCTTTTCCTCTACACCCTTTGTTTCTTCTTCCGCTCGCCGGAGCCTCCACGAGCCTTTCGGCCATTGGACAACCAGTCTCCTCCTTCCACCCCTCTTCCTTCTCCGCCTCCTTCTTCAGCTTCAGCCCCAGAAACTCCCAAGTTACCATCTTCCACAAATACCCCTGACCCTCCTCCTTTTTTCCCCTCATATCCTGCTTCTCCTCCTCCTCCTCCACCTCCGGTTGCTACCTTCATTTCTTACCCGGCTAACATTTCCTCTCTTGCTATCCCTCAAACTCCCAGACAGAAACCAAACTCTTCCGCCAAGCTCGTCGGAGTCACAGTTGCTGCCATTCTCTCCGCCGTTGCCTTCGTTGGGGTTTCTGCCTTTGTCTATTGCCGGTGGCGAGGACGGAGGCGGTATTCTGATGATGAGAAGGTTATCAGATCCGAGAGTAATCTCAGGTTGTTCTCTGATAATGTGGAAACCGGCAATACCAGTCGTAAGGTCCGGCATACTTCTTCCGCGAGCTCTGAGTTTCTTTATCTTGGTACTGTTGTCGATTCGCGCGGCATCGGCGACGATCGTGGCCTTGCTGATTCTCGAGGTAATGATAATGGCGGCGGCGGTAATCTGGACCCTCGCAGAATGGACTCTCCGGAGCTTCAACCACTTCCGCCGCTGGCCCGGCAAGCTTCGGGGCAGCAGAATGGACAGGAGCGTTATGATGTGCGTTCGACTACAACAGCAGACGAAGACGAAGAGGAGTTCTACTCACCGAAAGGGTCTTTGGGTGGCCGGGATAGTTCCAGTGCTACTGGGTCGGGTTCTCGAAGAGCGTTCGTGGCTAATGCAGGTGAAAATATTGGCGGACGAAGCAGTGACTCGGGTTCCACTTCGTTTTCTTCTACCTCAGGTTCGCCGGACCGGTCACATTCCGCCAGTCTCTCGCCGCCGGTTAGCTTAAGCCCCAAAAGGTCGCAATCAAAGTCACCGGAGACTACGGTGGCACAGATAAACCAGGTTGAATCACCGGCGTTATCTCCTGTTTACAATAATAATCAGCATGCGCAATCTTCTCTGCCATCGTCATCTTCGACCCCAGAGAATGCTTTTGCTCGTGATGGCCAATCTCCTTTGCTGTCTCCACTTTCGTTATCACCAAATAGAGCTTTGCAGAAGAGTTCTAATATGTCATCTCCGAGATTATCTAATGCAGTTTCAGAGGGAGTGGAGAAAAATGTGGGTGCTTCTCCAAGATTATCTAATGCTTCATATCAAAGTACGAAGTCTGTGTCGTCATCTTCAGCTTTTTCTCTGCCATCGTCGCCGGAGAAAGCATGGGAGCGAAGCTTTGATCAGTCTCCAAGAATTTCCAGCTTCTCCGATCGGTATAGGCAATCTCCTCTGTCTCTGTCATCACGGCCATTATCTCCAACCTTGCTTTCATCACCGGAAACGGAATTGTGCAAAATTCCAGTGCAAGATTTCACCCCACAGCGTAAACGATGGGAGATTCCGATTCTCTCGACAGCCGTTGCTCAGCCACCTCCGGTTTCAGCTCCGCCCCCACCTCCGCCACCTCCACCGCCAGAACATCATCGGAAACAATGGGAAATTCCATCCCTTTCAACAGCCACTGATCAGTCCGTTTCTAGGCCACCTGAGCTAATACCTCCTTCGAGACCTTTTGTGTTGCAAAACGCATCAATGAAGGTTTCACCTGTTGAGTTGCCATCAAGTTCTCAAAATTCAGGGGAAGTCGATGAAGCCCAGAAACCGAAGTTGAAGCCACTGCATTGGGATAAAGTGCGAGCAAGCTCTGGTCGCGAAATGGTGTGGGATCACTTGAGGACAAGTTCTTTTAAGTAAGATTATTAGCTATCACCTTAGTGATTTCTTTTTGTTGTTTTTACTGTTTACATTTCAGATATGTTATTGCTGGAATTTTCTTTCCATGTTCCGGGATTAAGTACAGAAGTTTGGGTTTGCTGCAGATTGAATGAGGAAATGATTGAAACTTTGTTTGTGAATGCGCCTAAGAATTGTACTCCACGCCCAGGTCTTTGCCAGCAAAGTGAGGAGGACAGAATACTTGATCCTAAAAAGTCACAAAATATTTCGATTTTACTACGAGCACTTAATGTAACTATAGAAGAAGTTTGTGAAGCTCTTTTAGAAGGTATATAATATCCCTTTCATTGAGAATAATATCATGGAGCTTGCAATCTTGAATCCTTAGATTTTGTGGTGGTATCTAATATCTGGGAAGATGTGGCAATTTCATTGTTTTGTAGTTCCTTGATTTAATTTCTGGCTCTAAGGTTTTACCAACTTTTAAAGCCTCGTGTCTCTTTTTAATCATGGGAGTGTCCTCGTATTGCTTGAAATTTCTCTGATCATATGGTTTGTGTAAGTACAAGTGATTATAGCGCTGTCTTTGGAGATTTAGATGGTAGTTTTAGTGCACAAGACTTTAGTGTTTGGAAACTGTTCAATCCACTGCTGCAATATGGTTTTCATTGAGGTACACAAATTAAGACTAAAACCACTTACCTCTGTACAGGTACTGCTGATACACTTGGATCAGAACTACTTGAAAGCTTGTTAAAGATGGCACCGAGCAAGGAAGAGGAGCGGAAATTGAGGGAATACAAAGATGACTCGCTGACCAAGCTTGGTCCTGCTGAGAAATTTCTGAAGGCTGTGCTTGATATACCTTTTGCATTTAAAAGGGTGGAAGCAATGCTTTACATTGCTAACTTTGAATCTGAGGTGGAATATCTCAGGAAATCTTTTGGAGTTCTGGAGGTAATCAACCATTCTTGTAATTTTTGATGAAGTGTACTCAAACTTGAAAGATGAGTTTTGGGTTTGATCTGCAACTTGACTGCTAATTTTACAGGCTGCATGTGAAGAGCTGAAAAACAGTAGGATGTTCTTGAAACTTTTAGAGGCTGTGCTTAAAACCGGGAATCGTATGAATGTGGGGACGAACCGAGGTGATGCACTTGCCTTCAAGCTTGATACACTTCTCAAGCTTGTTGATGTCAAAGGTGCAGATGGAAAAACCAGCCTCCTGCATTTTGTTGTCCAGGAAATTATAAGAATTGAAGGCGCTCGAATCTCAGGTACCAATCAAACTCCTAACCCTAGCCCCATTGAAGATGCCAAGTGCAGGAAACTTGGACTGCAAGTAGTATCCAGTTTGAGTTCAGAGCTGGCAAATGTAAAGAAGGCTGCTGCCATGGATTCTGATGTTCTCATCGGTGAAGTCTCAAAGCTTTCTCAAGGGCTAAAGAATGTCAATGGCGTTTTGCAACTAACCGAAACTGCCAAGTTGGATGATGAAAGCAGCCAGAAATTTTCAGAGTCCATGAACAAATTCATGAGAATGGCTGCAGAGGAGATTCTGAAAGTTGAAGGTCAGGAAAGAGTTGCTCTGTCCCTTGTGAAGGAACTCACAGAGTACTTCCATGGAGACTCAGCGAAGGAAGAAGCTCATCCTTTCAGAATCTTCATGGTGGTAAGAGACTTTCTTACTGTTCTCGACCGGGTCTGCAAAGAAGTCAGCATGATCAACGAGCGAACCATGGTTAGTTCTGGGCATAAATTTCCAGTTCCTGTAAACCCTACGCTTCCTCCTGGCTTGCATGGGAAGGAGACAATGCAAATATGCAGTAGTTCTTCAGATGAGGACAATTCATCTCCATAGCTCTGTACCATCTTGCTTGCATCTTCTGTTAGAAACAATCTGACACAAGGTGATTGTGACTAGTTGAAGTGTGCATGTAAAATATTTTTGTAAAAATTAATGTAAAAGATTGAAGCTGTATGTTATATGTTATTGATAATATATAAAGTAGAAGATTTTCTTTGGGAAGAACTAGCTTTACCCCATGACTCCGTTCAAGGCGCTTAACATTTTATATGAATCTTGAATGTAGATATGAGGTGTGCCCTGGAAATGATGCAACATTTTTTATCTAGAATTTATGATAGTCCTTGATTTTCAGTCATGTTTGTTTAAAGGTTTTGATTATTTATTTTGATTCTTCTCCCGTCTTGCCATTTGGTATAATGGCCCGTTTGTTATCCAAAAAAATCTTACGAGGAAAAAGGAAAATTCAGATTTTTGGAAGTCATTTTCCAATGGCAGGACATTTTCCTCTAAAGATGGGAAGATGGTTTTTCACTATTTTTGGTGGGAATCCATTTTCCATCCGGTTAAGTAAATTTTTGGGACAATTTTATCCCTAAAAGAGAAAGGGATAGGTGATGGAGATGATGAAGGAGAAGAGGAAGAGTTAGATGGATCTCTAAAATTATACTGCTAAAGTAAGAAATGAGAGGAAACTTTTGAATATTTTCTAAATTAAACCACTAAACAATGAGTGGGCATTTTTAGATGAAGTAATCTGATTTGCCCTATTCAATACCTGAAAAACATGTGTTCAATGTTGTTGAATGTGAATGACCTATGGAGGAGGAGATTATAGCGTTGCCTAGCTCTTTAATGGCGACAAGGTATTCAATGTTGCGTTACCCAAATCTTTATAAGCTTTTCAATAATATATACCTCAATAAAAATGTTCTCATATGAAATATATACGATTTTTCAAATCTTTTATAAGCTTTTCAATAATATATACCTCAATAAAAATGTTCTCACATGAAATATATATGATTTTTCAAATCTGGAGAAAAACATTTGTGACTCTTGCTCAGTATTTTGATGATAACTTTAAAATCACAAATCATTTTTGAATGGACTTAAAGAGCTTTTCAATGATAGTTTCTTTGCCTAAATTGAATTTAAATTGAGAAAGTTATATCTAATTGAAAATTACTACTACTTCTGGTCCTTAATATAAAACATTGTTTGACTTTTATTTTGGTCATAAATATAAGACCCTAATATACTTTGTTTCTCATATTTCTGTATTTTTTTCAAGGTTGTCCTTCTAATAATGATAGTTTTAGCTGATACACTTGATTAATAAGGTTATTTTAGAAAAGACAATAATTATTTATTATAAATGACTAACTTAACTTATTTTCATAATCTTCTCAAATTAGTCAACTAGCTCTTATATTTAGGACCAGAGATAAGATGTTTCAGTGCGTCCAAAACAGAGTGTTTGAGTAAGACATAATGGAATTCAAATTTTCTGCCAAAGTTAGAATGCATTTGTTGTTTTCCGACTTATAAAAAAAAAAGAAAAAAGAATGCATTCGTGCATGAATAAACAAATTCCAATTTACATCAGTAAAACCATTGTTGAGTTTTAAATTATGACAATGAAATGAAATAAGTACATTTAAATTTGATGCAAGCGAATTCACATTTTCTTGTGTAGATTTGAATTTGATACAAGAATATTTTTGAATTTTCAGCATCAAATTTGATTTTACTTGCTGCTTTCTTTGTCATATTAAAGCCTAAATTTTATCAGACATAACTTTATCAATTTAAATATAAATTAGGTAAATGGCTTATCACTAAAAGGCTATTTAAATCTAGTTTCCAATGAAACAAAAATCTATTCAAAGATTTGAATTTGATACCCCATGGTTTGGAAACGAGAAGTTTTGAGTAGGGAGTGAAAATGCAAATTGATAGAAGTAACGAGAAATATGTTGACTAAAAAAAACCGTTGGAGGCATTCAGAACTACAAGCATTTGAAAGAGGGAGTTGTGGCAAGAAAATATACGAAAAAATTATATTGACTAAAAATAAACACTATCTTAATGTTTATATTTATATTATTTATTATTGTTATTTATTTTTTTTAAAAATTAATATTTAAAGTATTTTTTTATGAAAATCTATGATGATTTTTATATTTATATTGAGTATTTATATTTATTTATTTAAATTATAATTTATTATAATTTTTTATTAATTTAACTTTTTAGATTTTTGAATTTTTTAATAATAATATTATTCTTCAATGTTAAAAACATTTTTATTTAATAATGTTATATTTTTTCCTTAAGGGTAACATAAATTGTATAATTTTTTAACCCATTTTTATTCAATCAAACATAAAATTTTTTATCAATCCACTTTCCATTTCGGTTCTTACCAAACATGTTATCACCAAAAATTTTTTATTACTTTCCACTCTAACCAATTCTTTCTACCAAACAGGTTCTCTAAGTTTTAAAACGATATTGGCATACTTAATATGACGAATCACCCAAAAAATAGATTATATATCGCAGCAGAAATTTTTCCATAAAATTTAAGAGGTAAATGTACAATTTTTCTTCTGATTTTATTTTTATAAATAATTTTTTTGGTATGCAATTTTACTTCTGCTATTTTATCTGTGTACAATTTTACTCTTGATATTATTTGTCAGGTGTACTAAAATAAAAAGATAATGAGTACAATTGCACAAAAAATCATGGATAAAATTTTCCACAAAAAATCCGGATACCAGATGCATATAAAAAATAAGATCAGTATAAAATTCCACTTTTTTCCAAATTTAATTAAAAGACGCGGAATTGCTGTGATCATATGATATACCACCCACGCCTATTTATGGGTTATAAGTTGCCTTTTAAACTTTTCTATATTAATTTTTAAAATTTACGAATCAGCAAACATCTTTTAACACAGATATTGTTGAGTACTTGTGGCGGAAGGGTAGCTTGAGACATGGGTATTAAGAGTATCATTGAAAAGATGAAATAATTTTAAGATTATAATTAAAGATTAAGACACATCTAGCACTCTCAAATGCATTCAGTATTTTAAATATTTTGTAATAATTTAGTATTCCGAAATATTTTTTCAAATGCATTTAACACTTTAAATTATATTTTGGTATAACCGGTATTCTGAAATATTTTATCAGATATATTAGCATCATAAATTATATTTTAGTAGATAAGTGTAAAACTGCACTAAAAATATTTCAGATGTTAAATATATATAAAAAAATAATTTAGGCAGGTTAATGGACGCATAACAAAACACCTTCATCCTATAATTTAATTTTGACTAATTTTCTTAAGTCACCAGTAGCAAGTAATTTCGGACGTGTACGGATACATTCTTGGTTTTTTTTTTTTTTTTTGGGACTCAAGATACATTCTTGGTTATTCACAGATTCAGAAGCGTCCCTTTCTTTTCCGTCGTTTGGTTCCGCGTTCTGCAAAAACCTGGGCATGTGGTTGAAGTTTAATCCATTACCTGGATAGTGAAATTTTTAAATATAAGGGTCCTATGACCGGAGGGGATATTCATAATACTACCTCCGCTCTTTAATATAAGATCTTATTTGATTTTTATTTTGGTCCTAAATATAAGACCCCAATCCACTTTCTCTCTCATATTTATGCATTTTTTTCAAGGTATTCCCTCTAATAATTATAGTTGTAGCCAATATAGTTAATTAGTAAAGATATTTTAGGAAAGACAATACCTATTTATTACAAATAACTAACTTAATTTCTTTCCTTAATCTCTTCAAATTAGTTAACTGGATCTTATAATTAGGATCAGAGGTAGTATTATTATTATGGAGACACGCGCAGGGACTGTTATGAGACATTGAGACAATCTCAAGGCTGATTCAAACCTTGTCGTCTTCGAATGGGATTGACTCTGTACATTTGTGCCGTTGTAATCACTTGGCCGGTTTGTCACGTGAAGTCTGTGAAACCAAATACTATCCTTCTCTTTTCTTTTTACATTATCCCATCTTTTAATACCAGAATTACTTGATTAATTTAAATAGATTAAGAAAATTAGTTAAGTTAGTTATTTATAGTCAATAGGTGTTATCTTTCCTAAAATATCTTTGCTAATCAAGTGTATTAGTTAGAACTACGAAATCCTAAATAAAAAAAATAGATAAACATGAAGGATAAAGTTTATTTAAGACTAAAATAAAAGTCAAACAAACTATTTATATTAAGGGCTGAAAGTAGTATTTTTGTATAAACATGTGTCTCACTACCTCATTTCCAAGCATTACTTTAATAATGTATTTTGTAAAATTTAATGGCTTAATACTACTTGTAGTTTTTGAAATCTGACCTTGCTTTGGTTTGATTTCTAAAATTTGAAACAAGTGATTTTGATTCTTAAAATGATTTCATTTTAGCCTGCCTAAAGACATTTAACCCCTAGAAACGTGTTTTTGGCTGATGAAATTCAAATTTCAAAAACCAAAACTAAAATAAGAATAAATTTCAAAAACTAAAAAAACCAAAATAAGATTAAATTTCAAGGACTAAAGATAATATTAATCCTAGTTGAATTTTATCATCATTCATGCGTTTGTAAATGTCACACTTGATAGTTTCTTTGAGAAGATTACTCATTTAATCCTTGTATTTCATCCAAATTTTGACTTTATCTTTATTATTATTTAAAAATTCATAAGTCCATTCAAGTGAATTTAATTCAATAGTTTACATAAAATTCCCGTAATCGTGTTATTGCTGTTATTAAATCAACTACATACTCCTCTGGTTTTTAATATAGAATCCAATTATTGAGTTGGTTTTTATCCTAAATATAAGATCCATTTTCCATATTTATCAATTTTCTCTAAATTACCCCTATGGATACTCCTTAACCATAATAAGTAGAAGAGGAAGGAAGGGTATTAAAAAGATGATTATGGTGTTTTAGGAAAAACGTGTTACATTTCTTATAATTAACTAATTTACCTAACTTTCTTAATCTAATCAAATTAGTTAAATAAGTCTTATATTAAGGACTAGAGAAGTATCATGTTATACTACTACAGGTAATTTTAACCAATCCACTCATAACTCAATAATAATATAAGGCATGCAATTTACACGAATTAATATCACTTCATTATTTTAATTTTATTCATTTTTTTTAATCATAGTATTCA